TTTTTAGCGATTAAAAGTAATGTGATTTGCTGATAATAGCTGCTGTAATCTCTTGAACAACAACAGTCATTTGCAAAGTAATGAGAGCATATTTAAGTAAGCAAAGGATTATTACAGTAAAGTTGAAAAAGTCAATGAAAGTATTATCTTTTTGCAAGCTAACATTGCAGTAGCAGAACTCTCTCTCAAAAAAAGACTAAAACTGGGTTTGTTGGCAAAATTATATTTCAAATTTCAGTAAACTCTTGAAAAAAATCACGGTTTACTTTTGGATTTTCAGCGGGACTGCTAGTCCAATCCCGTTTGCAGACATTATATGTGTGATAAGTATAGGTACCACAATCACGAACTAATGGTACACAAATCTCAACAATGCATTCCAGTGATTGTTTCAATCGATGAGGTTTGGTAATTGTGGAGAATGATGGATATACTCTGAGGAAGGTATGCTAATTTTATGTATTTATTTTTTTGCACTTGCGCTAAATCCAACTTTTACTGCTACATACTTATTTTAATAAAACTTGCTTTCATTAATTAACTGTGTGTTTTTCATTAATTTAAATCTATTTTTTTATCTTTTTCTAAAAACAAGGCTAGAAATTTTTAAATTATTCTGCTAAATATTTTAAAACATATTAATATTTGATCAATATGCAGATAAAAGTTCAAAGCATACAGGTCAAGACATCGTGGAAGAACTAGCTGTGGTGCCAGGAAAGCCAAATTACGCATAATATTCGAGACAGATGTTTCAGTTGTTGAAAAGACTGAGTAGAGTACCGAAGGTAGTAATGTGGTTACAAACCATTCTATTTGTTCATCAGTAAGTCGCATTTTTTGTGGTACCTGTTGAAGTATAATAAAAAATTTAAAATAGTAATTAAATTTGCATGCTAAATTTTAAAGCATTTACAAACATCTATGATAGCAGTTTTTTTTCTCATTTTTTTCAAGCATTAATAAGTAAGCAAGTTATTACCTTATTTATAGTCTTTGAACGCACGCGTTCTGTTCGTACACGTCGCACCATTTCACTAACAAGTGCATCCAAAAATGATTGCAATGTTGGCGTGTGTACACCTTCGTGTAATGGATGCAAAAATGATTCCACGCACTTGATCAGTCGCTCGAAACAACGATGAGCACTAAATATTCTGAACTGTCTTCTGGAAGATTATGAATAATTAATTACAATGAATGAATCAAAAAGAAAAAATATGAAACCTTTCGTTTTCTCCTCCTAACATCCACACTAGCCATTCTGCTCCCGAACTTTCTGAAGCCATGCCTGTTCCATCTCCAACTGCAACCTTATTGTAGCGAACACTTAAATTCAATGTTCGTAAAAGTTTCGAAAAAATTATTGTGAGTTTTGGTGTCCAATCGATATATCCTGGACAATAATCACTTATCCTGTAAATTCATAATCACTTATTCTGAATCAAAGCATGAATAATGGTTTGAATTTATGAATTTTATACTCTAATCTAAGCATGGCTATTAATTGCTTTACTGTGATTACAATTTTTTAAGATTTTATGCCTTTTTTTTAAAACCATAATTAGGGTGAATATTCTCATATGCACATGTCAGAAATCATTGCATTTATAAAAGTATTAAATTATTTTTTGAAAACTTATTGTAAAATACTCTAAATCTCAAGGATATTCAATAGTAAATTACTTCAGTA